TGAACAATTACCCGAGGGGTAGTAATTTAGTCCAGCGTCCAGCATTGTTTTTATCCATCCCTCGTACAACCGGAGCCAGTGACTGTACTTGCTCTCCCTGATAAAACAAGAGTTTTCCGCGTAAGCGAGATTTACTCAGTATTTGGGTTCCCTACGAGCATTCTGTGAGATTTGAAGAATCGGTCTGATTCGATAAAGTGATCAACACTCAACAAAAACAAAGTTGAAGAAATGACTCTGTGCTAGACCAAGAGAGCTGTGTGAAAATGGGTGAACTGTGATCATTGTAACTTTTCAAATTGTTTGTTCAAATTTTGAATTTTAACTGGTGTATAACCAACCGATATTCTTTAGGGTCGAAAAGATTTCGTTAAGCAAGCTGAGAAAGCCAAACCAGACGCAAGCACCGCCGAAATCCAGCCAGCTGCCACCGAGGAACCTGAAAATATTTACGAGACTATCGAGGATGTGAAACCAGGGACCGACTTGGGAGAAGGTCAAATGAAGAGACCTCGAAAGAGAAATGCAGGGGTAAGATAAAAAGAAAAATTAAAATCTGCCCTATTATTATCTAAGAGTTCAGATCAATGGTTTGCTCTCATGAAGGGTAACGCTCGAGACGTCAGCTTTGAAACTCTTTACGGTGCAAAATTTATATAATCAACGCAGTTGATAAAACAAAATTATCTTTTTATACTCACCCACCGACGCAGCACTATAGTCTCTTAAGAAACTTACCACCTTTATTCGTATATTTGTGTTTAGGATTTACGTAATCTTTAATCGACTAAAACAAGCTGACCCAACGGTATTGTTATGACTTGATTTCTATGGTTAATTCTGCGACGTAAGGAGCCCCGTTTCGTTTTTAAATACAAAATCATTTTACTCTCTCGTTAGAACAAACAGCCCGAGAAGATCACAGTTTCCACTTTGAAAAACCTCAACATCTACAAGGAAGGAGGTCAATATGTCATCGAGGCCTGAACCAATCAGAAACCATATCTTTTGGAAAGCTGTCAGGCGCACGTATTCATTCAAAGGTTCAGTCACATCACAGTAGAACTGCTGGCCGTCAAATAGCTGCAATGTGGACACTTAACGCATTTTCCTCTTCGTAGAAATGTTATCTCGAATAATTAGATTCTAGAGAGAGTCATGACCACTATAACAGCTTAAATTTTTGTAGAACAAATAGCATTTAAACTTGTTACATAAATCTACTCACAGAGTAATAACCGAGTTACCAGTCAGCGGACACCCATTAGAACTCTAATACTGAAACAAACGATCCCATCATTTCAAGAGAAAAGACACCTTGGTGAAATTATATCAAGCAAATCTTTCCACCATACAGTTGAAATGGAGAATAGTGATTCAAGTGGACGTCCCTAATCACTGTGTTTTTTCCTGCGGTTGACACCCATTCGAAGGCCAACCATACCTTGCATACGTCTGTTTCCTGTTATCGTCTCAAATTTCAGTACTTCAACTATAATCTGCCAATAATGCAAAAGTAACAGAAGCTATGATTAAGAGGGCCGAGATTTGAATCTTTTTATCCTTTTTCTTGCTTTCCTCTTACCGAAGCTCTCTCTAAGGAAATGAAAGAAGCGTTCACTTATAGTTGTCGCTATCTGGAAAGCTCTGACCACGTCTTAGCCTCCTCCGCAGGCAACTTTATGGGCTTCGTGTATCTCACAGGCGCGAAGCGCGAGAGGATTGGACCGAGCGCTCGCCTCAGTCTCCTTCGCACTTCGCACTCGATCCAGTCCTCTCGCCCTTCGCTCTCGGTGAGACCAGTGAGACAGGAAGAGAAAGTTTGCCTGCGGAGGAGGCTAACCACGTCTCGCTTCTAGTACTTTTAGTTTGTCGATCATGCGAGCCGCTGACCAGTAACTCGGTAATTTTCGCTGACAAATTGGTCAATTGATTTTATGATCAGTCTGCATAAGTTTGCATAGTCAGAGCACAAAGGTGAGAAAGAGAAAAATACCGATTCTCCAAGCGCAAAATGCAAGGCCTGGATCAAATATTTACTTTTCCCTTCTCAGTCTCTTCTTTTTGCCGGCCTTGGTTTTACAAATTGGTTGTTGCATTCAACCCGGTTGTTGATCAGGAGGCTTGCTATTGATAAGCTTTTGTTGCAAAATTGATAAATAAAAATTATAATAACCCAAAACAAAAGAAGAGTAAAAGAACCGTCCTTTAAAAGTCTTTTATGTTATAACATCGAGAACACTAGTTCATGCCACTGTAAAACCAACATGCCTTCCATGAAAGAAGCAAAGCTTACTCGAAAGGGAAACGACAGCATGATATGGTAAATATTTCGTCGTTCTGTCTCCGTTACATGAAATCAACCCGTCTTGAATTCTCTTTGTCAGCCATGGCCATAAATAATAGACTTGAATGTTTCGGAAAACTGTGAGATCGAAAGCCGTCGATAAGCAATCGAGTGTCTGTTTCCGGATCCAGTAGGCCACCCCGTCAGGCCAATGTTGGTCACCAGATATCTTATGCAAACTCAAACGGGCAGAATTTCTCAATTACGTTAGGAGGAAACTCTGCACACGCTGGTTCTACAGACTTAGACTGTATACTTTCAGTTAACTTGACTTTATTCTTCGCAATCCAACATTACACGTTCTGTTCTACGACCTCTCTCAACCCCGTCTTTTTCGAGTTACAAAAAAAGCTATGTTTTATTAGCTACGGATATACACACCCAGATACGTAAGTCCGGAGTGGTAAGATAATTTAAGCTAACTTGACAAAGTTCCAGTTTTGTTTTACTCGTTCTTCAATGATTCGTGGCCACTAATTTCCTGTTACATCGGCTTGCTCGAAAATCATAGTGTTTATCTATGCATGCGATTTTACTAGGACTATTTGATTAAATACATCATTGTTTGTGAAGGCTCGATTACAGAATGCCGGTTAATACTTCCCTTGACATTCCACAAATTAATGTTGGGGACAAGAAATAATTGCTTACTTAATCAACTACTAAATACAACCGAAACAGGAAAACTTTATTATGAGCACGTGCAAACTTTCACGACACTATTCCCCCTTTGACTCGTCTACGAGTCAAGCATTAAGTTTGTTTTCCAACGTGTATCTACTGCTGCAGCGCTTCTCGGATTGCGCCGCTGGGCAATTGGGTTCCCTTGCACACTTTCCCGCGGCGTCTCTATTTGGGCATTGCCTCGCACCTCTATGGGGTATAGCCTTTGAACCGGCCTGGACATCCGCGTGGGTTTCTCTTTAGCAGTGACCCGAATGTTTGCTCCTCTAACTACCTCATCTTTACCTTTGATAAGGCTTTCTATCGTTGACATCTTCCACTCTCCGCGCTTCTTATTTTCATCGTACACTTTAACTACGTCACCTACTTGTACAGGCTTTGCGTCATCACTTACAAAAATAACTATGTTGCGCTGAAACTGACGCAAGTTAGTCAAATACTCACGCCTCCACCTATTCCAAAAGTGTAATAATAATAATACCTTTATTTAGACACGATAATGTTTAAACCTGAACAGCTTGTGGGGTCGTGTGTAAGTGCAAATGAACTCTAAATTAAATAAATTCAAATGATGACGGTTTTTTAGGAGAGGAGAAAACCGGTGTGCTCGGAGAAAAACCTCTCGGAGCAGAGTAGAGAACCAACAAACTCAATCCACTTATGGCGCCGGGTCCGGGAATCGAACCCGGAATACATTGGTGGAAGACGAGCGCTCTCACCACTACGCCAACCCTGCTCCCCCTACTTACGTATTTGAGTGTGCTAACCTAACACTCAAATAAGTAAGTAAGTAAGTAAGTAAGTAAGTAAGTAAGTAAGTAAAAGCTTTATCATGTGTCAATGTATTTAGTTTTCACAACCAATAGGGGACACAATACGTAAGTAAGTAAGTAAGTAAGTAAGTAAGTAAAAGCTTTATTAATGTGTCAATGTATTTAGTTTTCACAACTAGTTGGGGGCACAATACCTGAAATAAATATCTGAATCTTTTAGTGTATCTACTCTCACTTTCCTCCTCGTCCTCGATGATTTCGTCCGGCATTATCTTGATTCTCCGTCCAATCAAGTGGGATGGCGTTAAAATTTTTTCCCCTTCCTCTTGGTAGTCATAGGTTAGTGGTCGAGAGTTCAAAGTCCCTTCCACTTCAATCAACACAGTGAACAGTTGGTCAAAGGTCAATCTTGCGTTACCTAACACCTTACGCAAACAACGTTTCGCACATCCCACCATTCACTCAAAAAGGCCTTCCCACCAAGGAGCTCTCTCCAAGTTAAACTTCCGCTCTTTTTTCTTATCTGAAAGCTCTCTCGTTACTTCGGGGTGGTTGTACAGTTTCTTAAGTGCTTTGTTTGTTGCTTTGAAAGTCTTCGCGTTGTCAGACACAATAAGGATAGGAGTGCCTCGCCGAACTGTAAATCGCTTTAAAGCTCGCGTGAAAGTTTCTGCCGAAAAATCTTCAACGAGTTCTAAATGTAATATAAATATAGAGGCAAGACCGATACAACATAGATAAGTAAATTTTAAGACGGAGCACAATATTTCGGCTGGCCAAACCAGCCTTCTTCAGGTGCAGTGGGAATTAACAGAGAACTGGGGTGATGCTTCATAGATAGCTGTATGATGTAGCAGCGGAAATATGTAAAACCAATCCGATTGACAACGAGACAACAATAAAAATAGAAATAGTGAGCAAAAATAGAAATGAAGTAAGGTAAATTGGATAAATAACTAGAAATTAATACATTTCTTCGCGAGCGTTAAGGCTCTTGTCACGCAACAAGAGAATTGCGTGATGTACACTTTCCTCATGCCTCCAGTTGGCGCCTTAACGTACAGTGGCCCAGCGAAAGAGACGCCTACCTTCGAAAACGGTGTAGCCTGAGTGTCAGGCCTTCCTAAGGGGCTAGGTGAGGGGGAGAAGAGAAAGGAGGGCCTGACACAAATCCATTCAGAGAACCGTGCGACACATCCAAAATCTGGATGTGGCAGTGATTGGATAATACGCGATACCCTCTGACGTCATCTCATTGACCGGAAGTAAATACGAGCAGAGCGATTGACACGAAGAAGCCATTTTTATTTTCGATGGACACTGGAGAAATGTATATTTTTTCTTAAGAAGAGATAACCAGGATTAAAAAAACCCGCTTAAATCAAGTGAAATCGGTAAAATAACGACACCAGGAGCAAGCAACACACGTATGGAATAAGGTAAGCCTTTTTATCTAATATTTTCACTTTTAACTATCTATATGGCTATCTTCTAGAAAATCCTCATAAATCGATTTGCAAATTGTGTTCTTTGGGTGGTTCTCAGAGAGCTTGGGCCGCCTTTGCTCAAACGGGCTATTTTGACGACTAACTGTCTTACGAGTGAATCGATAGGCAACTTCATCGCTTCTTCGTTTAGGTCACGAAGGAAATGTGGTCCGGAGTTATTTTCAGATGTATATTTGTTTGCCCAGACTGACGAGCACTCCGAAGAAGCAGTGTTTCATATGTACATCGTACCTTTCCATTGCCAGCAGCACGTACACCATCCAAAATTGCCAAAATCGCTTGTTTGAAACAGCACAAGACGCTGACGAACATCTGAAAATACAACAAGGCGAAAGGTACGTTAGTTTTAATACTTAAAGTTGCATTCGCTATTGTAAAAAGGTTCCCATACAAAAAGCTTTGAATACTGTCTTTGTAGCACAACACCGCTCCTAGGTAATATTGTCGTAAGCTTGGCTTTTCTGTGACCTGTCTGAACAGGGATTTTACCGATAGCGGATCTAATCCGCAGCGCGAGAATTGCGAACTTTCTCCCACATCCATCTCTATTCCTACTTGAGATTTGCACAAGAATAGGCCCCGGCTATCGGTTATTGCATCAGTAGTACATTGGATTTATGTTGAGCTAAAAAGCGATCGTTTGGTTTGTCACTTCCATTCTCGAAGTCCAAATTATCATGAGCCCTTACGTCGACAAGACTCGTCTAGAAATTTCTAAACCACGTATTTTTCGCTGTTTTTATGTTGTTGTTTTTTTTACTGAATAAATTACCATATACTCAAAACTCTTACAAAAAAAACTACTTACCACCGACAATTGCGACACATTGTGTATCTCGGAAAAAAAACTTGAACCGATGATTGTATAAATGAACTATGATCGCTATGAAAAAATTATTTTAAAACTGCTTGAGTCACCTAAGAAGCAACAATTTTTTTTCTCGGAATTCGTTGCTCTGTTTCTCAGAAAAACCTGCCGTGACATGAAGTGCAAAACAATCAGTTTTTTTTTTTTTTTAGACAAAATCTATTGGCTAATGGCTGATCTGTCACGGTTGCTTGCGTTTGAAAAGGAACTTAGAGTGATGTTTTGAAAATTTTCCAAAACACTGTCGATCGGAAGATGATCGTCGCTGCTTGGTTTTCGAGAGAAGAGAATATAAATATGTGAACTTAAACCTTTCTACTATCAGGTGAGCGTTATAAAATTCATGGCAAGTGTTTCTTTAAATTATAGTCGAACGTCATCAAAATATAATTATAGAAATGGGTTTCAAATTGCGTTTGAAAGCGGCCAGTAATAGGGGAAAATTCCTGCCCTATGAAAGGCAATTGAATTCTGTCGTCGCCTTAAGCCCGTGGACGGATTTAAACCCGCAAAATAATTTCTTAATTCATCAGCTCACTGTAAGGGGAGCGCGTCGATTTGATATATATATTTCTATATAGAGGGATTAAACTTGGTGTCCGTGAAACAGTGCTCAATACAAATAGTAGAGCGGGTATAATGTGTGGTAGTCGGAAAAAAAGCAACTACATATACATCCCTACAGACCTGTTTCATGGTTGCCCACTCATCAGGGGATTTGTAAATCCCCTGATGAGTGGGCAACCACGAAACAGGTCTGTAGGGATGTATATGTAGTTGTTTTTTTCCGACTACCACACATTATATTTCTATATATATTTCTGATCTTCCGTCATGACAAATCCCATAGAATTGCTCTATAAGTGTCAGATTTAACACTTTTAATCGAACATGGCGAGATGGTTTTGATCCAGTAAATGGTGTTTTCGAATGTGAGAAACAAAGGCAAGGAGATTTCCGATCCTAAAGTTTATAACAGTGTTAATCACAATACTCTGGGCAGCGCAATAACAAAGACCGACAAGCACAAACACCTTACGCTTGAGTAAGTAGACATTGGTAGCTCAAAGATATATCAAACAAGACAAAACTGACAACCTTCCCCAGTTTTGATATAGCTTCCTTATCAATTCGAATCAGTTCAGGACTGCTAGAGCTAGATCATCGCTTAGGCTAGTTTGATAATTAAAATTACTGAGAAAACAGTGATTTTTGGAAGTTCAAACTTAAATGAAGGTGCGATTTGACTCGCAAAAGCTCATCCTGAAATTGAAAATAATAAGCTAATCACGTACAGTATCCTTCATCGCCATGAGTGAATCGCCATAAGAGCTTTAAGTGCCGCAATCGATATCAAAGTATCTATATTTTCCACTTAAGCAAGATAAAAGAACTCTGCAGACGAACGTATATAACGGATGCTGACTTAAAGTTTTGAACTCTTGGTTAAGGCCAAGAGGACAGCCATGAATTGCGTTTGTTTTTTTGTCGATGTTCTATATCGTAATTTTTTTTACTACTGAAATATTTATCATTTGAAAGCGAAATTATTGTTTCCAATCGATGGAAGTGTAAAAAGGAATAGATAAATAGCACATACAAAGATAGTTCGAAATACATGATTTTTAGGAAATCACTGTTTTTAGATTGTTGTTTAATGAAAAAATTGTGGCAGTGTGAACTATACTTCAGTTAGGTGTCTCAAAATATGGCCTCTTGTTTTCCAGAATAGATAACTGGATTGAGTGTAGAAAAATTAGTCGCTGAATCGTGAGTTTCAAATTTTTGGTCAGTTTTATCTTCATGGAAATGGAAACTCGAGTTTTGTTTCTTCATATGACCAGTGGACCCCATTAGTAAATCCTATTAAGCTCGAAGTGTCTATTGTAAGTAATGATGAATTCTGATAAAAGAAAAAAGAAAAGCACCGGAATATTGTCCAGTAACTCAAACAATATCAAGGCATCTGGGGAATGATGTTTACTTGTTTTGGTTTTTGCCACAGGAGGCTTAATGATGGAGGAAATAGACCCTTGTCATCTGGGAGTGATGGGAAAAAAGGCCATGGAGCTCCACAAATATCCTGACGCGATACGACTGTTTTCAATGGGCTTGGTTCAGGCTGAGTCTCTTAATCTGCCTCCACAGTTTGCTTCTCAGTTCCTTATGGATCGAGCAGAGTGCCATTGGCAGTTAGGGGAGGTCAACTTGGCACTGCAACAGATGGACAAAGCATTGCGGCATGGATTACCAAGAAATGCCAATTTCGCAGAGGTTAGTCAGAGAAATTAATGTTAAAGGCGAAGCCACAAATTTTTCTAGCCTTTTGTGTTCTAAGCAGGGTCGGTCTGTGAGCTGGTCCTTTCCTTAAGAGAATGATTTCTTTGGATTGTTGTAATTCCCTCTTGTTTAGTCGCATGCTCTTGCAATACTGCACAAACTTATATTCTACACAAAAGTATTTGTTGCTGTTGTTATTGTAAGTAAGAGTCTTGACTTTGCTCCTGCAGTGAAAGAGGTTGGACTAAAAAATTTGGAACCCTCAGAATTGAGTATCTTGGTGTCAAATGGCATACATGCTCTTTAGTATTTTCAAGATTTCTTCTTATACTTTTTAATCAATTGTATTTTATTATTTTTCTTCCATTTGGAAGTACTCTAGCAACAAATGTCCAAGTGTTGAGGTTGAGTTGAGTTGAGTTATGGGCAAGTGTGAAGCGAGAAGGGTGTCATAGATGAAGTACATTCCTAGTCAATTGATTTATTCTGGTTTTCCTTTTTATCGCTACAATTTATATGGTTTTTCCTCTTTTAGGAAGAATCAGCAAGGTGGTCAGCCCATGGCTTTGCTCACTTGGAGACGTATGAATATACCATAGCCGAAAGTTGCGCCAGGTTTGCCCTTCATTTCCAAACTTTGCCCAGAACTAGAGCTCATGCGTATCTGTGTCAGGCGATTGCACGATATGAAATGGGTAAAATCACTGGGGAAACAACGGAAACAAAGGAAATCAAGAGACTGGATCCAAATCTTGCAAAGGTAAGATGACTAAATAATGTTTCGTTGTTTTGTATGATACTCTTGCTCAGCAAGTTTAGACTGTCCTCACAGAGGACAGACATTATACTTAGCTACTTTGATTAATTCTTTAAAGTTGTCTTGTTCCTTGAAATTCATATAATCATGTCCTTTCCTTCAAGGTTGATGCTCGTCCCTCGATGACAACCTCTTAATTAAGTGCACTTTTCAGGTGTAAATCGTACTCTCAAGCAAAAGGAACAAATAAACCCATTCTTCATAATAATGTTTCAATACGCGTGGGCCAGTCTTACTCAACTTAACAAAACGATCAAGTTCCAGGACTTTTCTTTACATAATTTAGACAATGTCACGAGACAGGAGCAATAACATGCTTCCTCTTTTTTCACTGTTTAAGCTTCATGCTCTGGAAATGAAGGAAAATGCCATTAGAAACATGAAGAGTCATAATTACCCGAGGGCAATTAGGGATTTCAACTTTGCTTTGCTGCTTCATCCTGACGATGGTTCCAAGAGGGAATTCAAACGTTCGGTGAAAAGTCATCAAGCAGATGCATATTTTAAACTGAAACAATATCAAAAAGCAATTGAAGTTGGAGAGGAAAGTTACAAGTCATACCCTGACTTTAGGTCTTCGGTAAGAAATGAGCTCAAATTATTAAATGAGAAGTTGTTCGATATATAGTGTTTCAGAAACAAAAGCAATCGACGTTATCCATCCATTACCAACGTTTCTCGAGTTTATGCAAGTTTGATACAATTTTTCTAGCCTATTGCTACCAGGAGATGGGCAAAACTCCTGCTTCGTATAGATTAACTTGCCAGATCATTCACGTTGTTCTCATTTTCTTCCCCGTAACTGAGACTTAAAGATTCTTTGTTATCAACCTCAATACTTCTCACTTGTCTGGCACATACAGAAGGAAGCTGAAAGGTGGAAGAAACGTGGAAACGACCTCTGGAAGGATTCAAATCTAGTGGATCAAGCAATCACCTGTTATTCTCTTGCGTTAAAGTTTACACCAGCAATAGAAAATGTCCTCAAGGCAACTCTTTTTTCCAATCGTTCACTCATGTACAACCAGCAAGGGAAAGCTGCCTTGGCATTGAGGGATGCACTAAGTTGCATGGAGAACAACCCTAGATGGCCTAAGGCAAGGATTGATATTGTTACCCACTAGGTAATCTTTAGACATGGTTGCCACAATCATAGGCTTCTTAAACTCCCTGATTATTTTCTGACCAACGTAAAAATTCTCTGATCAACGTAACGGACGGAATTAACAGTTTTACAAGTCTTTATCATTATAATTAGTTCCAACCTCTCTTCACACCGTGAGTCACATATGGTCTACATGAATTGATAGTTCCTAACGGTATAACATTGAAAAAAGATTGATTTTCTCGGAACCTTACATCAGCTTGTTGATCAGTGTCATTATACAATATTCTACCAATTCAACACCTATCATGTACCTGAAATGTACCGAATAATTAAACACAGAGGAGAGCAATGACAATAAAAGAAAATGTATGACTTTATTCACAAAACAATTTGACCTTGGATATCATGATGCTGGTCTAAAATTAGACAACTGTTCTTCTCAGTGTACATCGAGTAACATCGAAAACACAAAAAGGTGTTTTACAAACTTTCATGATGAACAGGGCCCAGAAGAGAAGAACGACTTCGTATATACTTACAATTTTACTTCTCCTGACTTCTTTGAAAGATGTAAATTTTCCCTGACTCCAACTAAAATCCCTTACCTTTCCTTGAACCTGGAGAAATTTACTTTTCCTGACCTTTTTCTGAAAGGTGGCAACTGTTAGAAGTAACATCTGTCAAAACCTCTTTGGAGAGAAATAGGTGTTTGCCGACCGTAATCAGAGGATTGCCAGCATAATAGGGTTGATTCTAATTGAGGTTTAAGTGCATGTTGCCCTCAAGATGTGACCAAGGAAAGAATTTACGTTTCAAATGCAGTGATCTTATATACATGTATATTATGCATTGTTTCAGTTGAAATATGGTCATTTTATGTGATACATATCATATTTTTCAGGCACACTTTCGTCTGGGGTCTTGTTTATTTGCGCAGAAAAAGTACGAGGATGCGATGGAAAAATTTTCAGGATCACTGAGGTTGTTGCTTCATGAGGAATCACCGTCAGAGCACCAAGCAGTAGATACTCTATATCAACTGCTGTCTGTAGCATTAAAACTACCAGGTAAAATAGTTAATCATCACATAATTTCATAATTCTGCCATAGCGCTTTTGTTGTTTGATAAGCAAATGACGGAATAAAGGATTAAATGCTTGGTGGAATTGGTGAATTAATAAAAGAATGGAGAAAGATAAAAAATGAATGGCTTGAATGAGTGGGTGTTCTAAGGACAGATGGATACACTTAAGGTTGTATGTGTTAATCAACAAAGGGATGAACAGAGGGATGGAAAGATAGCAAAATGTCAGAAAATCCCAGCGATAAATAGTATACTTGGTTATAGGGTTATCATAGTGCCCTTTTCTTCCAGTAGGAGGTACGTCAAGCATCCAATTTGGCATTCCAAAGAATTTTATTCGAACAGTAAGGAAAAGGCCGAGTGTAACCCAATCCATAATCTTTTTTGATGCAAAATTGGATGCTTGACTTGCCACACAGGGGAACAAAAGTGGTAACTATAGTAAATCATACCCCTATGACCAAGGAAAGATGATAAACAGTCAGACGATCACATCAGTGAATCGTACTTGGTCCTTAGTATGGTTCATCATAATGAAACATTTTTCTTCATCTAGATGGCACGTCAAGCATCCAGTATGACATTCCAAAGGCTTAAATTCAAACAGTAATTAACAAAGCTGTAAATGACAAAGATTGGGTTACATTGCATCTTCTCTTCTTGGGCGGAGGAGGACCTCAACGATTTAATAAAGGTTCCGGGGGCCTTGCCGATAGTTGCGATGCAAGCAGTGTGCCATTAACAGAAGTAATAAGCTGTGATTTTCCAGATCTCCCAAAATTCGTCAGCATATTGCTGGATCACAAAGCATATGGAAATCCTCAAGAAGGAAGAAAAACTGCTCTTGAACTGGCTATCGACCTGAACAAATTTGATGTTGCTAGTGTGTTGATGGATAAAAACACTACTTCAGGACAAGTTGGTGGTGTACAACTTGAGGTAACATGAATGATAACACATCTAAACTTATCAGAGAATGCTGTTTTCTCGAAGTTACTATATGAAAATCGAACTGAAAGCAAATGGGACGCGTTTAACTTGTGAAAGAAAACTGATTTGGCTAGAACAAAACAATTATATCGCATTAATGATTTAATGCTGAAAAAAGTTGGTAGCTTTTTCCAGTGGATTTGCCTGTTCTTTCTTTGTCTGCTTGTTTCAGAGGAACTTCAAAGAAGATGCGAAAAAAGCAGTGGAAAAATGGGACAAAAATACAGCCATCAAATTATTTCAATTTTCCTTGATGCAAGAAGGAAACACGATGGAGGATCAGCGCGAAACGTTACAAAGTCTTTGTGAATTGTACTTCCAAGAAAAGGTCTTTGAAGAGTGTCTTCGCACAGGGAGAAAATTAAAAGAAGCTTACCCAAAGGGATTCAAAACTGAGGTAGAAATTAACACAAGATTCGCCCCTGTATTTCACATATTTTAAGCTCATTGGCAACGTTGAGACTAAACGAGAATAATTGTCGAGTAGGTTCCAATCGATAAAACAGGAACCGCATGTAAAACATGGTCCTCGAGCTAACATTCCCAAAGACAACAGATTGTATTTCATACTCCACTGGTTTAACAGGTCTACTTTATACAATTTGAATGTCAGTCCGTCTGTTGTATTTCCTTCCGTCCGTCTCTCCCTCCCTCCCTCCGTCCCCCCTACATCCATCCATCAATCTACCTATCTCTCCATCGATTTACCTCATTATTCATGCAATTGACTTGTGATTATTCTATAAAGGATAAAGCTACACAGTGGAAGAACTGGGGAAACGAGTTACACAAGGAGTGTGAATACCACCTTATGGCTAAGTATTACACACTTGCCTTGGAATTCACACCAATATCAAAAATTGAGCTGATGGCCTCTCTTCTAAGCAATCGGTGTTTGGCCTTTAACAAGCAAGGAAAGTACGAGGCAGCTTTGGAAGACGCAGAAAAATGTATCAAAATGAATCCAAAGTGGTTCAGAGTAAGCAATTAAATTGTTTTTATTATTCTTTCCATAAAAAAAAATGGTCAACTGAGCTGCTAGACTTTTGATAATGCACTCACAGAGGAAAATTACTTCTTAGGAGATCCAAGAGCACCATTTAAGCCCTCCCCCTATTCCCCAACACAAGTGCCGAACAATAAGCAGCGACATGTATGGCATCTATCATGGATTATGCAACCATTTTAGACTGGTAAAGCTTTCTTGACCGTACGGTTCAACTATCACCAAATTGTACCTTGCGTTGTCTTCCTAGACTGGATCATTCTCAGTCACAAAGATGATTTTAAAATTATTTTTAATCCATGATTAAATGGAAAAAACTCAAGAAATGAGTCGGGTTTCTGGCTTAAGCTTTTGGTTCGCATATGACACCAGTTTATCGAGTGCTTCGCGAATCATCGTCCAAAACGCGTGGTGTAGTGCAACCTAATATATCAGTTTCAACGTTTGGCAGAATACGTTCATGATGGTAGAAGTTCTCTTTTCTTCTTTTTTTATAAGTATATCTACAATGCTCACTTCAAAAAAAGTTCCCGTTAAGTAAGAACCTTCGAGTCTCAGATGTTCGTTATTAAGGGACTCCACCGTCATTCCTTCCACTGCCATGTTTTAAGGCGTAATAACTTTTCGATTAATGTGAAATAAACCACTCCTATATGAGTATTCAGTAATTAAACTTAAAGCTTGTGCTTAAATTATTTCCAGGGATACTCGCGTCAGGGAACATGTCTTCGAAATTTGAATAAAACTCAAGAAGCTCTGAAGGCATTTTGTGAAGCACACACACGCGCTCTTAGCGACAAAGAGAAACAAATAACTGCAACAGATGTGCTTTCAACTGCTATGCTCATAAAAGGTTGGTGATCTGTTCATAGAAAACATTTCTACTTCATTTTTCATCATTTAATGAAACGGTTGATTGGAGAACCTGCCAGTTATGCTGAGATTGGCAAAGGACACTTTCATCATTTTACAACACTAGGACTGCGCGCAGGCATCGTTTTTCTTCAATAACGTGCCAAAGTTTACAAAATTCCAAGTTTCGAAATTGAAAGCTGGAGTTAGATATGTTATAAGGACTGTTATTACATCACTCGCGGCGCCCGTGTGTAAGATGAAGGGAATCCTGTGTTCTGACTGGCTACCCGAGCGGGAAAGATGGGCCAATCATGCCCGCTCGTGATTGCCTGCCTTGATCCCGCGCATGAAAGAAATTGAATTAGAAATATGCTCGAAATTCTTGGACAATTTCGGCGATGGAAACGCAAAAAGCGGCAGAAGATAGTCAAAAGAAAGAAAATAGAGACAACTCTCGTGAGTTTTATGTGCTACAAACACAGTTGGCTTTCTTTCCTTGCTCTCGAAATAAACAAGCCATTCTTAATTCTTAATAAAGCAAAATCTTTTTGCAATATAAATAAATTATCAAGCAAGCTTGTTCAGTCAAGACGGCTAGATTTTAGCCTCGTTCTTTTTTCGCATTTTTATGGACCTCGACTTCGTCTCGGTCCATAAAAATGCGAAAAGAGAACTCGGCCAATATCCAGCCATCTTGACCTCACGCATGGTTAATAACGCATATTTATTATTCGACTGAACCTTTTTTTAGGTGGAGAATCACAGATTACTTGCACTCTGTCACCCCGCTTGTTACAGTTTTTCGTGGAGGACGCATCCGAAAAGAAAGAATGGGAGAAACTGAGATTTCTATATCTTGGTATTGAATGTGAATGTGATGCTTCGTGTGTGCCTCTGGACCTTCTCATCAAGTCGGATCTTGAAGATGTCCACAACCTTGTCAAATCACTTCTTCAACACAACGCCTCCGCGGACGGATTACGCAGTTGTGCCAAGCCTCCACTTTTGGCTGCCATGGAAAAGATGAAATTTCCTGTGGCTGTGACTCTGTTGAGAAACAATGCTGATCCAGCTTGTATAGTTGGCCATGGGATTTTCATCAACAAAGAGGTGTGAAATTTCTCTTCGATGACAATGTGCAATCCAGTATGTAGATCTTGAGACTTCCTTTAATCAAGACGATTCGTGGACGCACACTTCCTTCCTTAGAGTTTTCAACATCGCTTTTGGTAATAGGTATTGTACTCGGTTGACTTTAATGGGTGCACGTGATCCTTTACGGTGTGGCTTTAAATTTCATAGGGTCAACCTAGGCAATGGCTTCAACTTGGTCGCAAAGCGATAGATGCGAACGACAGTAAAAAGGCTGTGATGCTGCTCAACATGTCTCTCTACCTTTCGGATTCTAACACAGACAGAACAATCAGGATACAGATATACCATGCGTTGGCAGAGGCCTACTTCATTGAGAGTGAGCACGAAAGATGTATCGACGCTGGAAAGAAGTGCTTTAAGTTACAACCTGTGAAATCTGAGGTATTCTTTTTTTATTGAGTCTTTTGAGGTGTTCATAACAAATTTTCTTAGTAGCCAGTACCCTATCGCGGATTAGAAAGAAGCAAGGATACATTCTTTTCGTCCGTAGTGGCTGACGTACACAGCTTAATTTTTCCTATAAAATCAAACTCATTTAAATTCTTATTAAAAGGAAGAAGCAAAGAGATGGGGAGAACGAGCCGACCAAGCCTTCCATTTAAGAAACTATAACCTTTCCACTGAATACTTGAATCAGGCCTTAATGTACACTCCAGCTGACTCAAAGGAGACGTTTTCACTTCTGTTGTGCCAACGTTCGGAGGCTTTCCAACAGCTGAACGACTTCCAAAGCGGTTTGGAAGATGCAGTAAATGCATCAAAGATATGCCCAGAAATGTCTGAGGTAGGTACCACATCAACATGTAACTGCACATTACCATTTGCTTTTACGTAAAATACACAAACCAATTTACAACAAGCATCCTTTTTCCAGGTTTATCAACACCAACATAAGTGTTTCCACGCATTAAAACGGAAAAAAGAGGCGATGCATGCTGCAAACGAGTGCTTAAAGAGAACAACAGATGAGACCTTTATTTATGGCCTTTTGTGTGACGCCTTGGCTACTGCTACAAGTCTTAAAGGTAAATACTAAAACTGGAGATAACCTGTAAAAGGTCATAAGTAATAATAATAAAAATAATTCTTCTTACATTTAAGGTATTGCATGGCATGGCGCCCGACTACTTGCGCCATTTAATATCTGTCTTGCTGCCGTCTAGGTATAATTTAAGGCGCAACGATGACTCCGCAGCTTTATTAACTTTCCCGAAAATAATATCCATGAAGACCCTGGCAGATAGATCGTTTAGTTGTGCCGCCCCTAGACTTTGGAATCTGCTTCCTACCACAATAAGATCTATTTCCAGTTTAGATATTTTTAAAATTAGACTTAAAACTTTTTTATTTAATAGGGCGTTTAATTAGTTACTATAGTTGTTATGAATAAATTGCATTAATGATGAATTATTTTATCTATTTATTTATTTATTATGGAGTTTTAGAATTGTAATTTTGAACTTCTATTTTATTTTTGATTTAATATTTATTGTAAGGCGCAGTTGAATATTTCTATAGAAACTGCGCGGTATAAATTTAAATTTAATAATAACAATTTAATAATAAGGACAAAGACCTCTCGCAGAATTCGAAGCAACATCGTCGCTCTCTGAGACAAAAAGACGAAATAACTTCTTTACGAGTGGAAAGATCTAGACAAAAAATTGTGGGTAACCTTGTTTCAAATGTGTTGAAACTAAATGGTAAACTCTCTGTCTTAGAGGGAACATCAGCTCTAACGGCCCCTGTGCCTAGCAAACTCCTGGAAAAGCTTGTAAGTGACGTGGTAAAAAAGAAAGAATGGCGTAAACTAAGAATCCTGTATCTCGGGGGAGGAGGCTCAGGATCACACCCAACAGGATATGGGGGACTGGCGACTGGTATCAACGCATCGAGTGTCCCACTTGGAGAAATCATTTACTCCAATGTGCCTGAGCGACTCATTTTAGTGTCAGTGCTCCTCAAGCATGGAGCCTTAGCGAATGGCATTGAAGAATCGGATAAAATACCCTTAGAGGAAGCCATGAGACCGCCAGACTTACCTCTTGTGAAAAAATTGGTGCAAAATGGAGCTAACCCTTGTATAATGAGCAAAGAAGGAGAGCCCATAATTCACCAAGCATTGAGGAGTGGTTTTCAGAAGAATGGTAATATAACTAGTATTGGTATAACAGTAGTAACCTAGGGGGAAGTGCTCGTATAAGTTGAGCACAAAAATACAACAGACAAAGGCTAGTATCACATTACTGAAAGACAATAAAGAGAGCAACAAGGACTTAACCCTCTCTAGAGAAAACATTTCCTTTTAACTATGAGTGCTCATTTTTGGCCACATAACCCATTTTCTAATTAATAATTGTCACTATTAATTTGTCAGGGACATTTGAATTCTTGAAAGCAATGTTGGAGTCCACACTCCCAGAGATTCAAAGTGTCCAAGACACAGACGGAAACACTCTTTATCACATTGCATGCATTGGCAAGAATGCGCGGCAAAAAAAGTGTGACGCAATCCGAATACTTCGAGAGCAAAACATTAATCCGAGTCTCCGAAACAAGAGGAATGAATATCCAATAGACAAGGTTCCGTCCAAGCGTGATCCTCGTTGGAAGATGTTAGAGACTGCATTACAATGTTACAAGTCGAGTTCTTCAGAGTCTGTTACCCGCGAAAACAGTTCTGAAAAGGTGCCTGATGAACAACACGATCAAGAACTTCACCGGGCAGATAGGAAGGAGAAAGACGTTTCGAGAGGTAGTGAAGAGAGAGCGACAACAAGAGCCAATAACACGCCTCAAAAGGTCAGCGTTTGGAAGATAGATCACAAACAGCAGCAGCGAAAGGAAAGGAGGGAAGCTATTGCCAGCTTGATAGATGGCATAAAACCCCTTTCCACATTTGTTCCAAATGCAATTGATACAAACGAAGACCACGATGACATCGAAATGCTCAATGAGCCTTCAGAAAGCCCTCGTGCTGTAGAGAGTAACAACGACAAAATGGTAAAAGACGAGACCGTAGATGATGATCAAGATGCTGATGATTATGAGATCCTTGAAGAGTATGATATAGAAACGGATATCGACTCTAAATCTCCTTTTGAAGATCTTCCTTGGGAAGTGGACTGTACTGATCGAGTTTGGAAAATTTTGAGAAACAGAAAAGTTGGTTTCTCTACGAGGAAACGTATAATCGAGAAAATTCGAATGTTAGCTGATGGCAGATGGAGTAAGACACTCTGCAAGAGACTCGAAGGTGAAGCAAAGAGGAAAGACATCGAGCTTTACGAATCAAAGCTAACAAAGAGTCAACGCATAATTTGGGAAAAAGCGATCGCTTTTTCTGGTCGATGCAGCGAAAACCCCGAGCTCCGTCTGAACAAGGAGACTCCTGAGGGTCGCATCTACTCAGATATCATTCGCGTGTGGGACATTGTATTGGACCACGACAAACTTCAGCGCTCGATAGACCTCATCGTCAAGTCACATGACAGAGGAATGAATTGTATGGTGAAAAGGAAACTCAAAGGCATTCCGGTGAAATCTGGAGGCAAAAGCGTCTCAACTTCCCAATATCTACCGAACAAGTATGCAGAGATTGGAGATTTGGAGCACAAAGGAAATCCACCAGCCAAGAAAAGCGCACCTCAGAACAACTTGCCTCAAATTTTCTTCCCACCTGCTAGTGCAAATGACCAAGAATATCACATTCTCAAGTTCTACTTATTCAGCACCGCTCTCGTTAAAACAGTGCTAGAGAGTGACATTACTTCCAGGATCGACTTTCCTTTCAAGATAACTGAACTGGAGCATGCCATCGTTAATCTCCGCCCAAATCCTCCGTTCCCCATCATTCTTCTTGGTCGAAGTGGTACGGGGAAAACTACCTGTTGCCTCTACCGTTTATGGGAGCAATTTCAAAGTTATTGGGAACGTGCTGAAACTGCTGGTCCCCACATCCCGCGATATCTACCCCCTTCATTAGAGTCTAATCCATGTTCCGACGATGATGAAACTTTACAAGGTAGAATTGAGCAGGATGCAAACCAAGCTGAACGTAGTAGAGAACGAGCATCTGTATCTCCTGAATGCCACCAACCCGATGCGTCGTCATGTTCAGGTTTAGCTCCTGCATCACAAAATAACGACCAAATATCACAATCAAACTCTTTCCTTTCAAAGCCAGAAAGCCAACTTGACAGTGACCAAGAAGATGACAAGCAACCTGACATGTGCGAACATCTACACCAGATCTTTATTACAAAGAACAGTGTTCTCTGCAGCGAAGTTGAGAAAAATTTCAAGGAGCTATGCCATGCGTGCCCAGCAGCACAACACCGTCTACCATTTGAAGACCAATCTCTTCCTACAAAGATTCAGAACAATGCCGAAGAAGCGTGGCCACTTTTCATTAATTCAAGGGACTGGCTTCTCATGTTAGATGCATCTCTTCCTGGAAAAACCTTCTTTAAACGCGGTGAGGATGGAAGTTTGGTTCGGAAAATTGTTGGCTGGGGAGAGGAAGACAACCATTTACAATTCATTCCAGCCACGGAATCAGATGACGAAAGTGATCACGAAGAAGAGCACGAGGAAGTCGCTGGAACACAACATGGTGGCGCAGAAACCAACAAAACAGGGAGAAAAATATCCATTAAAGAAAACAAAGACCCCAAAAAGGAAATCACTTACCCTGTTTTCCTAGCTGAGCTATGGCCAAAAATGAAAAAGATTTCGAAAGAGGTTGATTACCATCCCACTTTGGTATGGACTGAAATACGGTCTTTCATAAAAGGTTCTGCTGAAGCCCTGTTGAATGAAAATGGAGAGCTATCACTCGAAGATTATAAGTCCCTCGGAAAGAAGAAGGCTCCAAATTTCACTGCGGACAGGGAGCTAGTTTACGATCTTTATCGAGTTTATGAACGACAACGATCCTCAAAACGAATGTTTGATGAGGCAGACTTGGTGTTCAACATTCACCAGCGTCTCCAAGATATTGCTACTCCTGAATGGTCTGTCCATCAGTTTTTTGTGGATGAAACCCAAGATTTTACTCAAGCGGAGTTGTCTGTATTGATTCGTTGCTGTCGCTATCCAAATCAATTGTTTTTTACTGGTGATACAGCGCAGAGCATTATGAGAGGAATTTCCTTCCGCTTTAGTGATCTTAAGTCTTTGTTTCATCACGCCAGGAGTGCGGTGGGTATCGCTGATGACCAGAATAACTTCATCAGAGTCCCAAAGAAATTGTATCAATTGACACACAATTATCGATCGCACGCGGGAATTTTGCGTCTTGCCTCAAGCGTTGTAGATTTGTTGCTGAGATATTTTCCCGACTCATTTGACAGATTACAGAAGGACGAAGGGCTTTTCGAAGGACCCCGACCAGTCCTTCTGGAATCATGCAGTCCTACAGACCTGGCAATGATTCTTCAAGGAAATCAGCGGCAATCTTCAAGAATTGAGTTTGGTGCTCACCAAGTGGTGCTTGTGGCGTCAAATGAGGCTAGAAACACATTACCAGATGAACTGAAACATGGACTCGTGATGACCATCTATGAGGCCAAGGGACTCGAATTTGATGACGTCCTCATTTACAATTTTTTCAAGGATTCGCAGGTAAAACATCAAGCTCTTTAAAATTATTGATCACTTTCAAATGGCTTCAAACAAGGATAGTTCAGTAGGTTTTAGATGTTCTTCTCTCAAGGTACAATATGCTACGATTAACACTTTTAAGCCGTAGGTCAGTTGTCACTATGGGACTGAGTAAATAATCAGTGCGTTTTCAATAGCAATCAACCGTGAGTTATTACCTGTCTTTCTTCACACCATTACAGGAATAAATTATTGGTTGTATATATTGAGGATCTAGATGTTTTATGTTTGGTATAAGGGATTAAAACGCGTTTTGAAATGGTAAACGAGGCAACCTGGGCATTTTCGGTAGTTGTAAAAACATCTCTTTTTTTTTTTAATGACCCAGGCTACGAAAGAATGGAGAGTAGTGGCCAGCTTTATGAGAGATGGGAAGTTTGCTAATCTTTCAAGTTCGACTGGTCTGGTTGAGATAACAGAGGAGAGCATTGCGGTACAATCCTCGCGTCCCCTTGAATTTGATCCGGACAAGCACAAGGTTCTAAATTCTGAGCTCAAGTTTTTATACACGGCTATCACTCGAGCCAGAGTAAACGTCTGGTTTTTTGACGAAGACAAAGAATCCAGAGCGCCTATGTTTGAATTCTTCCAGAAACGTGGCCTTGTTAAAGTTGTATCAATGGGAGATCGTGACGCTGACGGATCTGGGGAGCTAGCCAGCATGTGTGCTACAAAATCAACGCCAGACGAGTGGAGGAAGGGTGGTTTGCGTTTCTACAAACGCAAGTTGTGGAGACTTGCAATACAGTGCTTTGAGTTCGCTGGTGATGAAATCTGGGTTCAGAAAAGCCAAGCACAGCAACAAGCGGCAGAAGCCATCACATTGAGTTCTACAAATCGTCAGCAAATGAAAGACGAATTCCTAAGGGCTGGAGAAAGCTTCCTGAAATGCGACATGTATGATGAGGCCGAGATTTGCCTTAATAACGCCCAAGAGTGGACCCTTTTGGCTAGACTGTACGAGAAAACAGGAAAGGTAAATAATACAACTGAATAGATAAATTCTTTGAGGCTCGATTAGTTTGTACCAAATTTATACAAAACTGGGGTTTAGTTTCTCCATGAATGCAATGCGTTGATCAGCTCGAAACTTCACTGCTCCTACCCCTTCTTGTACATATAAAATATCAAAGGTTGGTTTGTTCAAATTCCCGTCCCCGGCCAGCCGCCCAACTTTTTGTGAAAAGCAAGATCAGCGACCGCGACGTTGTACACATTGACCACACTTTGACCTTTTCCTTAGAGCTATTTCTCGTGAAAGTAAACTATTTACCTTAAAACCACCTCCATATTTAAAGATATATCACTCATATTCCGCTGCAAAGACTTGACACTTCCGGTTCAAATTCCCTTCCTCAGCCAGACAAGGTTCAAATCTCCCCCGGACACGGAGGGTTGTCGAAGCTTCCAATTGATCGGTGCCTAACATTGGTCACGCTCTCTTCTGCTCTTATGTCAGCGCTGACTTTCGTTTCTGGTTTTCTAGAAAATTGTTTCCAACTCCTTTTATTCGTTTTTTGATAGTTCCAAGATGCTGCTCGTCTTTTTAAAAAGGAGAGACTTCACAAGGAAGCAAGCAGATGCTTTGAAGCACAGAACAACTATGGGGAGGCGATCGAAGTCTTTTGTCGTGCAGGCATCTTTGAAGAAGCGTTGAGTGCCCTTGAACGATATAATATTCTGGTATCAAGTGGTGACTTAGAGGGTAAACAAGGCATTATTCCCCCGAGATCTACTCGCACGGTGGAGAGGTTACGTCATCAACTTGCAGATCAACATTTCAAGAGAGGGGAAACAATGAAAATGGATGAGGTTCTTCAATACCTTCCATCTACTACCGACCGTATAACATTCTTGAAGAAACGGGGATGTATAATTGAAGCAGCCAGAGCTTTGGACGATGATGGGAGACGAGATGAGGCTGCGCGACTTATAAAAGACGCAGGAAAATTTGAAGAGGCTGAAAGGTACTCTACTGATCCCAAATTTGTCGCGGATTGTTTGATATCACTGGGTCGCACCACTACGAAGAATGACGACAGTCCAGCGATTCTTGAAAGAGCTATTGAGGAGTATCAGCTTTGTGGTGACCTTAACGGCCAAGCAGAGGTCTTGCTGTTACTGGGAGGATTGTCTGGTGACTCTAAGAAATTCCAGGACGCGGGAAGATTGTTTGACAAAAGTAAGAATCCCTGCGGGGAAGTAGAGAGTGTCATGCAATTGCTTGAGACGACGAAATATGCACCACCGAAAACATTCCAACAGTGGATGGCTGTGAGAGCCTTGGAGAGAGTGCTGGGACTGATTACTAGATTACACATGCCTACGAAGAAACTAACCTTGGCTGAAGAGAGCGAAATCATAAGGTGCGAAGAGCATTTTGGACTTTTCAAAACCAACGTCGCTGACGTAAGGAGGTACTTATGCAAGTCCGGGGGCAGATTCTCCACGGTTTTTCCCCAAGTCATTGAAAACAATACCTCTGATACGGAGGTGATGATAAACACACTTGATGCACACAAGGAAATAGGACGATTCTTACTTAAAGTCTGCGCCAAATTAATAAAAATGATTCGCATGATGTTGGAGAAGACGCTGGCTAGAAGTACTCTGTGCACGAAAGTGGAGATGGGAACAACGTGCAGCGATTTAAATTGTGAAAAGCAGCATGCTGATTCGGTAGACCATTTCAACACCCGCTTCCTCGCTCTGTTCCATTTCATATATTTAGAATCAGTTGTTGAATCGTTCAGGTCGGAGATAGCTACGAGAAAAGATGAGCAGGATAACCTCCAATTGAATTTCGAAGAATTTCGGGAATTCCGAACCTGTCAGCGTTTTTACGACTTCTTGATTCCCCCGTCCGGTTATCGAGAATACCATCTTTCATTGTCAAGCATTCGCCACCTTAACAAGACAAAACTAGTTACCAAGCGCATTTTTCAATTTGCCAACGTTCTGTGGAAAGAAAAGGCTGAGGAATTGCGTCGGTCAGACACCAATAACTTCCTCAAAGTATCATTTTGCCTGCAGCTAATCAACTCTTCTCCCTTCATGGTGAAGTGGATTTGTGAAGAGGAGAAAAAGTTCCAAAAGAAGACGAGGACGCCGAAACTCATGTCCTCAAATGAGCTGTTAGCAAAGAACGGAATGACTGGTCCTGATGAAAATGGACGCTACGAAAGCTACTTGCATTGGTGGGAGTACGGCAAGAAAAGGCTCTACGTTCACGGTGACGTGGAAAACGCTGCTCATTTCATCATCAGACGTTTGCTTACTCTAACAGCTAAGCGAAGTCAGATGATTTATCCCTCCATTGCCAACACCGTTATGATCTTGGAACATCAACTGACAGCCTGCCTTGCTTTGTACAGCTGTTTGTCTAAAGAGAACCGGTATCCTGTATGTCTGCCCGCAAGCTATCTGACTATGGTGAGGTTTTGGGACAATTGCAGGCCAAGAGTCGACAAAGGCTCATATACCTTGTACCAAGCGGTTGAAAATAGCTACGTACAGGGAGCCGACAAAATGAAACTGTATAAAGCCGTTCGCTCTCTGTTAGACTACATGGTCAGGCTGACATGTGGTGAGGTGGCTCCTTCATTCGATGTTTTAGGGGACGCTCTTGACTCAAGAGAGAGTCCATCTTATTGTGACTCTGGAGAAGCAGAGAGAACCTTGGTGCTCTTCTTGACCATGATGTGCAATTGTGGCAAAGGAATACCGATTCATCTAGAAGAATTTATGCTCAGAAAAATCTTGCGTATTAAGTCAAACCCTCGGTTAACAAGCCGTATCGACAGCGTGTTAGCCAAAATCCAAGAGGTGCAAGGGCCCTGTGATGTGGTAATGATATTAAAGACGTTCCTGCAAAGTAGGACTGAAGAACTTTATGATCTCCGCTGGTATAATGGGAAATTTTGGTACGATGGAGCATGCAATCCAACCACTTACCCAAACACATTTCACACAGACCTGTCGCACGTACGCGAAGGAATGAAACATGATCCAGGCCAAGAAAAAACGTCTGAAGACACAGAAGCTGTAAATACAACCGAAACCGAAGCAACCGAGGAAGTCATGGATGTGGAACATACAGAAGAAGAGCGCAAAGAGAAAGAAGACGTCCTAAGAGATTGGAATGCTACCACAATCCAAAGGTGGTACAAAAGAATGAAGTCACTGGAGAAAACGCGACGTCAAGCCGGAATGGTACCAGCAAAAACATTACATCGGCTTGAGTCCACCCAGGAACAAATAGATTCAGAATCTGATGTCTTAGAGAAACGTTTTTCCCAGTTCCGAGTCGACACGTCTGCTTGTGGAATCTGTGGTATTGATTTCAAACCTGCTGAAGACATCCTGCACATTAACAATGAAGATAACGAAGGTACTTAGTAAAATCTAATTTCCTTCTGAAGAGAGCTAATTAAGGTATTAATTTCGTCGGCCTGCGAACATCTCCCTTTTCCTTTGGTTTACGTTCAAAAGAGGCGCACGGAGACGTATGCATACGGTAGCTTGCAATTAATTATCACAACTTAGTGCACAAGTTTCTTCATTCCTCTTGAAAAATCCTCACTTGCGTTACAAACTAATAGGGTGAACTAACTAATAACCGTAAACAACAAATGCTCTTCATGAATTACTTATACTTTTTGGACCAATAGGAGAAACGGCGTCAACAGAAAAAGAGACAGAGAATGCGGAAATCCATGGAAATTCCTCAGCACATTCGGAAAAAGTGAGGGCTTTCATCCATTACAAAGATCTCTATTTTTCAAAAGTCCATCCCTTATATACACGACAGGAACAACTACTCAAGGCGATAGAGGACCATTCCTTGTCTGCTAAAGTCGAATTGGACATGGACCGCTTAGAGGCGAGTCTTTCTGAAGTGAAGAGGGAAGTACAGGACATAGAGTCTGCTTTGAATTGGGGAAAAGTCAGCTCTCTACGAAACGCAGTAACAGATTCTGAAATCACACTGCGAAAGACGGAAAAAGTCGTAGAAGAAGGTAATCACGACAGGTGTTTAAGGAATCTTCATATAAGGGTATGCCCCTAGAATACATTTCAAACAACATGAAAATGATTCGTCCGGAATCAGGCGGAATGGGGTGGGAGATGAGGGGGTGGGGATTGGATCAGTCTCAGCGTCATCACCATCATCATCTTTATTTACACACGGTAAAATACATCAGGCATTAGCAATTTAATATAAAAGCTACAACTAATCTATAAACCATGTATATTAGTCTAATTTAAAATATTACTAACTATTACAGAAGGTAAATTACATTAAAGCCTACTTTACATGAATGCCGTGTCGGAATTAATCAACAATCGTCGGCAATTAGCCAGAGATGTCGCTTGCCTAGCAGCTGAGGGAAGGCTGTTCCAGAGGACTGCACCACTATAGCCAAAGCTATTTTTATAATATTTATTACGTGGCAAGGGAATAGCAAGCTTATTTTCAGAATCGCGCAAATTGTAAGAAGTAATCACATCACTCCTCTGAATAAATTTCGAGGACAAATAATTGGGTGTGAGGCCAACTCACTTTGATTTTCTCGAACGATGGTATAGTTTGTATACTAAATGACAGCTGATGAGTCAAACATGTCTCAAAATATTTGACATCTAAAAGATAATAAGTTGGTAGGTAACATAAATCATTTAAAGGCAAACTTTTTTCCTTCAATAAAATCAAAGACGCAGCCTTGATTTACTGAGATTTCTTTTCACACACAAAAAAATTACACACAGCTTTTTCTAATCCTCAGCGAAACAAGAGTCCTTCGCAGCAGCAAATGAAGACAGTGAACCAGAGGAGGAAGGAGACGAATTGCACGAGGAAGACAAAGAAGAAGAACACGATTTCAGTCCAATTCAAGAAATCCCACATGGAAACAAAAAAGGTAGTGGCAAATCTAAGAAGCGTCGTAAAAAGCGTAAGAAGTAGAGAGATTGCGAGAAGGCAATTTCAGGTGCAGAAAAGATACTTTTCCTTGTAAATACAATAGTATAAATATGTTTCAAGCTATGCAGAGTTTTAAATGACCTGTTGCATAAGTTAAATCTCCATTCGAATCTTTCAGAAACGATACCAATATTATAGAACAAATCAATACCTGACGAGAGAATTCCCAGTGAAATTCCACGCGTAACCGATTTTGCGATAGTCTCGAAGCGATGATTGCGATATCGGTTTTCAAGTGCAATTTTATAGGAAAATTCATCAAATAATGGATTTTCCTTGAATCGCATAATTGAATAAAAACAAGAAAAAAAAAAAGAAAACAGCATTACTTACAGTTGTTATGTATACTTAGATGCGAAACAATATCAATTAGCCTCTTTTTCAAATCGCAATTCCACGCTAAATACCTCGCTTCGTTAACCGATCAGAATGCGAGATGTTATTCAATCATGCGATTCTATGCAGAATTCACGAGTCAGGTAATGGATTTTCCTTCAATTGCTTAATGGAACAACTTTTTGTAGCTGTGGTGTTACCATTTGACGTTAGTTGTTATGTTTATGCAGATGCGAAACAAGTTACACTTAGCCTCGTTTTCAACTCGCCGGACTTACACGCTAAATATTTCGCTTTGTTAACCAATCAGAATGCGAGATGTTGTTTGATTAAGCAATTCTTTGCAAAATGAAGGTTATCAGAACAAACTTTTAGAAATTTACTAGAAGAGGAGGGTTAGCATAATTTGAGGGAAGATTAGCGTTTTTCAAATCCATTTTAGTGGTGGGGACATTTTTAAAACGATGTTTTCAGGAGTGGTTTAAGATTTTTTGAGAATACAGTTTTTTACAAATCGTCTCTGTGGTCAGAATTTGTTTTAATTTGAATAAAGGCTGATAGTTTCCAAAGAAACTGTTTGGGGCTGCGTCGGTGGGAGTAACGAAATAATTTGGATATATCAACAAAGTTGAAATGGTAAATTGGCCACCGTAACGATTACAAAAGCTGACGTTTCGAGCGTTAGCCCCTCGTCGGAGCGAATAGAGGAATTGTGGGTTATGCGTGCTTTTAAAGGCGGAAAATGGAGCTACGTTTTTGGTGGGAACATGGCAACGAGAAAAACAAGAATAAATTAGTGGAATGAAAAGCGTTCGTTGATCCCTGTGGGATTTAGACTGCCGG